CGTTTTTGGTTTTTAATGCTGACTGGACCTCTCCAGCGAGCCGTGTCAGCGTCACATCGGATTTCCGGCGAGCCACGTTAGCATTGGCATTAAAATAATCGTTTTTCAAAAAAGTTGGCACCAAAGTGATCCGAAAAAAAATTATGGTACCAAAGTGATCGCCGTACACAAGTTATAGCACTTCTAGTGTACTTTTGCCTCAGATCCACTGATCCTATGATGTGAGCAGTTGTGCAAAATGGACTCAATCCTACACCTGCAGCGGCTTCAATACTTGCAGCCTCCATCACAGGAGAAAACAAATGAGAATAGAACTCCAACACCCACAATTACTCCGACTGAGTTGGCCAAAGGAGAAGCATTCGATGCAAATGCTCGTTACTCTGTTTATTGTGCTTTATCTCCTACTTAAAATAACCATGTATCATCATGTGAAACAACAAAAGAGATATGGGACAGACTTCATGTGACCTTCGAAGGAACTGACAGAGTCAAGGAAACAAAGACGAATATCTTCCTTGGCAAATACAAATCATTCAAAATGAAGCCAAATGAATCAATCATTGACATGTTCAATAGGTTCACTGACATTGTCAACGTACTTGCTTATCAAGGCAGACCAATCTCATCAGTCACTGTTGGTAATTTTTTTGGGTATATTATTGTTTCTCTCCCTGGGATCTAAGAGCAATGAAAGAACTTTTGGGCCAATAGTGTAGAAGACGGGAAGTACTTCTTTTCCATCAACCGGTAGAAAGATCATTGGGTTTCATGAGGATCTGGAGTCTATCTTGATTCACTTGGAGCTCATTTTGAGCTTGCTATGCTAAGCTCTACCTTTATGTGTGCCTTGCAGTTGATGTTTGAATTTACAAGTAAATGTGCACCATCACTAGCATTCTCAGAAGTCCAGGGGTGTCAGTAGGTTGGTTTGATGTATATATCCTCCAAGAATAAAGTGTGTAAAAGCATTTATATAGGGAATCATATCTTCATCAACTAGTCTCACCATTACCATTATGCTATATTTCTTGTCATATTTTTAGCAGGATCACATAATTTACGGGGTACATGGAACAGGATTATGTCCATGAATTAAAAGCTGTAACCATAATTTACCATGCAAAGAAATAGCCGACTTGTTTCTCAAGAAGAGATGGGATGCCCAATATCATTTGATTGAATAGTTGACCCAACTCCTTGTTGTTTGAAGAAATCCTCCACTTCAATTGATATTTTTTCACGAAAAGCAAACATGAGATAATGGAAATTATAAAATATTCAAATTTAAAAAATACAAAAAGGAATAAATTAATAAAAAGATTAATACAAATAATAAATACAATAAGAGATAAGAAGAGATGGGACCGGCGACACACGTGCTACAGTGGCCGGGACAAAGGGTCGCGATCCTATGAGGGTGAGCTAACTCCATAAACCCGTCCTCAGTTCGGATTGCAGGTTGCGACTCACCTGCATGAAGCTGGAATCGCTAGTAATCGCCAACAGCATAGCTTATCATGTTAAAGTAACTAAATATAATATGAAATTACTAGAAGTACCAATTTCAATAAATTACCGATATTTATTTCCGAAACTTACCAACAGGTCAAGCAAACACCGCGTCCACGTACAACTTATAAGTTGATCCTAGTAGACCCAAGAATTTCTAAATTTAATGTATGGATGGACCGCTATTCTTACATCATAATTTTAGGGTCAAGAATCGAAGATAATGGATCATTAGGTTCTCTGCCGCACTTTGCTAATTCCCTTCATTTAGCATTTAAAAAAACTTATTGTAGTAGGTTGCTCTCATGGAGTCCATTTCGTACAAGGCATACTAATTGACCTTTGTGTGATGTATAAATAAATACTAAGCGAAATAATCTAAATAATGAAAAGACATTTCAAATCATTCAGTACATTTGGATGTCTTTCATTTCCCTCTAAGATGCTTCCCACAACCCATAATTTATCGTTGAACATTATGTATAAAGGTCCCTATCCCTCGTAGTTTACTTTGATAAAACAATTCAAGTTTATTAGAAAACTAATACTTGATATAATGGTGGCAAAGGGCGGTGGTAGCTGGTAGGTGCCTAAGACCATCGCCAAAACCTTCCTCCACCACATAAAACCATTCCTCCTAATGCAGCTACGAACAAAAGAAACTCTGTCAATTGACCCCAACCTGCTCGATGCGATCTGCCATTCCAGGGTTTCTCTCCTCATGTTCACCACCAACTACGCGGACTCGCAGTGGCTGGGCGAGGCTCGACCTCGTCGGATCTGGCGAGGCCAACCTTGCCCAGCCATGGCGACGGCGAGGCTTGCCCTGCCTCTCCCCCCCTTTGGCCGATTGCTAACGGTTGGCGACCGGCTGAAGGAGGAAGAAGGGGAGGAAAAGAAAAAGAAAAAATAAAAAATTTGAAAAATATTAAAATTATCCACGTCAGCATCATATAGGCCGGTCGGTGTCCACGTCAGCATTTTTAGGCCAAAATTGGCCAAACGGATTCAATTGGCAAGAAGTGTAAAGATTTACTACTTAATTGGCAAAGTTGAAAGGTTTTAAGATTGAATTGGCAAAAATGCAATATGTTTAGGACTTATTTGACAATTTTCCCTAACTTTAGTAGGATCTCATAATTTACATGGTATATAGAACAAGATTATGTTCGTGATTTGCCAACTAATCGTGGAGTTTACATGGCATTATGTCCATAAATTGTAAGCTATTACCATAATTTACCAACATTTACTAGCATAACTTATCGTGTTAAAGTAACCAAATATAAATTGAAATTACCAACCTTTTTGAGTTCATATTCCAACATTTGTAGGATTGTTTCAAAAGAACTAATTATTTCAATAAATTATCAGTATTTATTTCCGAAACTTACCGATGAGTTAAAATGGCAAATTTTTATAATAAATGTCACTAATCATGTGCAAAAGTTAAAGGGTGAGCGATCTAGGGTAGGTTCAGGTTCCACCTAGAACTTACTCTGTCAGCATTGATTTTCAAATTTTTAGAACCTATAATCTATCATGTATACCTTAAAACTGACATTGGAAGTTCTAGAGTTGACTTTAAGGTCTACCAGGGAATCAGCGAATTCCCTTTTTTTGGGGTTTCATTTTTTAGTTCTTTTTTGTTTTTGCTTCATTTTTAGCCAAGCAAAATAAAAATTAAAGCAACAACAAAAATTTCCTTTCAGATAGATAGAGTTCCATTGACAAGACTACCTATCCCAAACAAAACCATTTATAAGTAAAATAACTTGTCAAACCTAATAAGAGAATTTGTATTATGTTGTCATGTAGAGTGAATGAAAGGTATTGATTCAAGAGTAAACTAGAAACATGTGTAAAAGAGTAGTGATTAATTAATTTGTGGTATTGATTAAAGAGTAGTTGCCGGTGGATTTTAATGGGTACATATCTTCCACCTACACCATAGCAAGTTTAAAACTAAACCTAGTAATGGAAGAACATATTGAATATCATTAGTAATGAAATGATGTTTCGGATTTTGAAAATTTGATATTACTAGTATGAAGATTGGTGAAAAGATCCATAGATACTATTAGTTCTAGGGTTACCACAGTTCGGTCTGATTCTCCGATTCCCGATTTGGTTCTACGGTTCTTAGTCCGGTTTGGTTCGATTCCTACTTGGGACTGGACCAATTTTTAGGTTCGATTTCTGGTTCTACTCGGGATCCATATTCACCTCTAACAAAAGTTATTATCATCTTCCATTTCCGTAACGAATATTATTAATTAACATGAAAGTTTCAATTTCTAAAATATATTGAAACTTGCTCTATTTTTTCTTTTGTATGAAAAGTTAACAACTACATTTAAGAGTTAGTATCTTCTCATAATTTTAGAGTTCCAAACTTACTTTCAATAATTTTGCACTTATATTTGATAATCGTTGATCAATGGAGAGGAAATTCAATACTACGAAACAAAAAGTTACTGATCGATATGGGAAATTTACTTCCTTGCAACTTACTAAACTCTATATAATTTACACATATCATTTAACATTCAAAAGGAATAATGACATAAATAGTCCCTAAACTTTAGATCTTGAAATTTGGACATGTACGAAAAGTTCATAAACTACATTAAACAAATTAAAATTCATCACATGGGGCAAAGTTGATGGACCACATTGAACAAATTAATAGTTTAGGGACCACATTACATATTCGGTTAAAATTCAGGAACCATTTGTGTCATTTTCTCATTAAAAACTAGCTAATGAAATTTTGCTATTTTGAGTTTTTTTTTGGAAAAATGCCTTTTTAATTTTTTTTTTGGTTGGAACTTTTTCTAGCTTAAAAAGTAGCTAAACATGCAGAGGATTTTTTCTGACCAAAAAAAAAACATGCAGAGAATTTTTTTATAAGTATCTTTCTGAAAATGATTAATATCACAGAAAACCTCAAATTTATACACATGCGATAAATTTACTCAAAACTAATTTTTTGATCACCAAAAATCCTAAATTGATACATTTGTGACAAATTTACCCAAAACTAATTTTTGACCACTAAAAACCCCAAACTGGTACATTTGTGATAAATTTACCCTCTGTTATTTTCCGTTAAATTGGATTAATATAAAAAAAATCACAAACTGGTACACCTGTGATAAACGAAAATAAATTGAGAGTAAATTTATCACAGATATATTAGTTTGAGGTTTTTAATAATTAAAAAATTAATTTAAAATAAATTATTATAAGTATATTAATTGAAAATTTTTGGTGATATTAACTCTTCTGAAAAGGTCAAAGAGATCACGAGAAGAGAAGTTTTCGAGGAAATAAAGAATTAGCATTCACATGCGGCACTTAGCGGCAGCCATGCAAGATTGCGTTTACGTCAGCAAATGTCGACAGATTCGTAGAATCTCCTTTCCACGTCTGCGAGTTCAGACACGTCCCTGTCGCGTAGAGACCCAGCTCGAGCTGAGCTCTCAGCAGACATCGTTGAATGGTCTTGTTTGACGATTCAAACCCACGAGCGAGAAAGTTCTCTCCTGCTCTTTGAACAAATGAAGTCTCTCCCACGCCAGCTGGTCCCGGCACTCCATAGAAGACGCAGAGCGTGTGTACCAGTGGCGAAGCTTTGAACTTTCGTTCCCTTCTCGCTCACCACTTGCGCCTTCTCTCTCCCTCTCTCTCTCTCTCTCTCTCTCTCTCTCTCGTTTGTGCGCTCCGCCTGCGAGGAAAAGTTTCGAGCTTCTTCTTGGTCTCTCGCTCAATCGCGGATTATCCTCATGGGGATCGAAGAGATGGAGGGACTCGTTCCATCTTCTTCCGCTTCGGTTCATCGGTGGAAGTACGACGTGTTCGTGAGCTTCAGGGGCGGGGACATCAGGAAGAATTTCGCGGCCCACCTCTTCCGCGCGCTGAAGCAGGCGGGGATCTACTACTTCGGGGACAATGATAAAGAGGAGACCGGGATTCTCATTGAGGCCAAGCTGCTCGACGCGATTCGCCATTCTAGGGTTTCTCTCGTCGTGTTCACCACCAACTACGCCGACTCGCGGTGGTGCTTGAACGAGCTGGTGGAGATCCTGGAGTGCAACAGGAGGTTCAGAGATCATCAGGGTCACGTGGTTCTGCCCATTTTCTACGATGTTGAGCCACGCGACGTTCGGACACAGAGCGGGCGATTCGGGGATGGTTTCGGAAGGTGTTTGGCCACCCACACGGACGATTTGCTGGTGCAGAAGTGGAGGGATTCGCTAAAAGAAGCTGGGAATTTGTCAGGATGGCATTTGAATAATGATGCTAATGGGTAATGCACCTTCTTCCCCAAGAAAATTATGTTCTTGTCAGTTGTATTCCCAGTTCCGCAAAAGCTCATATTGGTGCTTGATTTGAACTCTACTGCTGATTGAATCTAGTTCGTGTGTTTCTTGGTTATGTGCTGATGGCCTCTCCAGGCTATAGTTAGTCATATTTGAACTTGTTTTTCCCATACAACTACAGGGATCAATCGGACTTCATTGAGAAAATTGTAGGACATCTCTTGAAGATTATTCCCAGAACAAGCTCCCCTGATGCTATTGGGGTAGATTCCTTTGTAGATGATGTCATATCGTTGCTGGAGATTGAGTCAGAGGATGATGTCCGTGTGGTTGGAATATGGGGAATGAAAGGAATTGGTAAGACAACGGTGGCCAAAGCCGTCTGCCATCGCATTTCTAGGGAATTTGACGGGGTTAGCTTTCTCGAAAATGTCGGAGTTGCAAACCAAGATACTCTTTTACTTCTTCAGAAGAGACTTCTCCAAGATGCTCTGAAGGTACAAGGTCTAGAAATGTATGATCTTAACAGCAACATCAACGAGATAAAAACTAAGCTCTGTCGGAAAAGGATCCTTCTAGTTCTCGATAACATCACTGAGAAGCACCAAATTGAGTATTTTGGCGCTGGAGATCGAGAATGTTTCCAATATGGGAGTAGAATCTTGATAACTACAAGAGAACAGTGGCTTCTGAAAGATCTCAAAGTGGATGATGAGTACATGCTCCCTGGACTGGGTTCTAAAGAATCACTCCAACTCATGAGTCGCCATGCCTTCGGCGAAGACCAACCTAAAGAAGGGCATGAAGAGTTGTTCAAGAGTCTTGTCCACTATGCAGGTGGTCTGCCACTGTTTCTTAAGAGATTTGGTTCCTTTCTTTCTAGTAGGAAAAATCAGTGGCATGAGATATTGGAGAAGTTGGTAAGGTATCCTCATCTTGATTCAATTGGAATAACTTTAGATCCATTCTCCTCTCTTCGCCCCTCTGTAGGGCCATTTGGAGGCCATGGTGGACATTCTTTTGACGATCAAACATACAGTGACATAAGAAGAATAAGGCTCGTCATAGGAACAGCGATCGAGTCCATTACTGTTGACTATGTTCAGAATGGGTGTATGGTGCGCTCGCCAAGACATGGTGGATCTTTGGGAGATCGCACATGGGATGTGAGTGCATTATTATGGTTTGCTTTGTTGATTTGCAATATTTACATCTAGTTATGACATTCTCCATGTAAGTATCATTTACTGTTCGTTTGTGGAATGGAGGTTGAGAAAAAGTGGTGTCACGGAGTCATAAAAGATGGAATTGCTTGAAACATATCAACTGGGTACTTCCACAATGCTTGATCGTCTCCCAATATGTTGATGGCTTTGTTGTACCTTGCTAAGATTTGTTTTTCAGGGTGCCAAAAAGAAAAAATTGCACTAGCATCATTAACTGATGTTACTGTTAATCAGAGATTGCTTCAGTGCTTGTCGCTGTCAATATAGAGCGTCAAGAATGCCATTTAATTATGGAGCAAAGCATTGGGGGTTCTAGATGGAGTTCATCGTTGTGGCACAAGACTAGTGAAAAAGGCAAACTGTGCTCCAAAATAAGAGAAGGAATCCAGTCGTCCCAATAATTAGATTTCTTTTGTTTTGGGAAAACTTAACCTAAATAATGCATCTAGAGAGTATAGAATCCTTCTTCAAGGTGATTGATACTCACTTTGCTGTTCTGCAATTGTTGCAGGTACATATAGATTATCCAATTGAATACTTGACTTCGGTGTCAGGCTACATTAGAGAAGATTCTCTTCATGTCATCAACTCTCTTACCTTCCACAGCAATATGAGGGCACATGGGCCAATTGGCGATGAGAAAGGGAAGTTTTTCAGTTTTCCACAAGTTGATGGAAAGATCATTGGTTTTCATGGAAGGTGTGGCCCTTTTCTGGATTCCATTGGAGCTCATTTTGGTCCTGTCTCTCATCCGTATCCCTTCGAAGTCATAGGGCCATTTGGAAATGGGGAAAACCGCTGGGATGATGGCAAGCATGTAGATGTCAGACAAATTGTTGTAGTCTCTGGTTCTGCAATTGAATCTATTAGTTTTACCTATGAGGAGGGTCGTTCTTTCAGACACGGAACAAGTCATGGCGGCAAAAGAAACACGGTACACTACTCTAGTAGGAATTCGGTGTTTGATAAACATTACTCCTTATTTTTAATGATGCTTATTATGCCAGTGCTGAAGATGGTGTCTGGGTGAAAGTGATAAACTATTAAAATTTGGAACTTAGGTATGACACCATCAACAGGAAGAAAATCCGTCATAAAACTGAACACTTTCTAAAAAATTTATAGTATTTTAAAATGGTCAATAAGGGAGAGTGAATCAACTGTTCTCCATCTATGGACTTTCTGCAGATGGATTATGGTTGGTATGACAACATCTAGTTATTCTCTCTGGGCATAGTTCTTCAAACAATGAGTTTTTTTTCCTGACAAAGAGCACTAACAAGGACTCGCCCAAGAGACAATGTTTGCAACACTGGTGCATTTATTTCATGGAAAATCAATGAGTTGAAAAATATTTTCTTAAAATTAATTGTTTGTATCGCTTAGAAAAATTAGTTAACAGATTTTTATCATCAACAACAATATATTCCTAAGATTTTTGTAGATGATGAAAATTTTCTTGTTAATTCATTTTTGTAAGCGATGTACTCGATCGATTCTAGGAAAATGTTTTCCAAATCATTGATTTTTTGCAAAATAAATGCACCCGGGTTGTTGTTTTCCTTATTACATCTGTTATAGTTAATATGATATTGAAGTAGGCAAGATAATATACTATTTTCCAGATCATGAATCATCATCTCAATAATCAAGAGCATCATACACTAGTCATTGTCATCTACCATGCTTTTGCTTCTCAACTTGTTGCATTAACATTTCTTTACCCTCTATTTGGTTGGTACAGATAAATCTGGACTGGCTGACTGAATTTCTAATTTCGGTTTCGGGATATATTGTGAATGACTTTGGTTCTACTATCATCCATTCACTCACATTCCAAAGTAATAAACGAACATATGGACCATTCGGCACTGAAACCGGAAGGAAGTTTTCATTTCCAGCAACTGGTGGAAAGATCATTGGATTTTATGGGAGCTCTGGTTCCCATCTTGAATCTCTTGGAGCATATTTGGAACCTATCTCTCATCTACATCCGATCAGGTGTCTTGGACCATTTGGAGGCCAAGGTGGACACTCTTGGGATGATGGTAAATTCAATGGTGTAAAGAAAATAAAGATAATGTTAGAAGATGATGTCAACTGCATCTCCTTTGAGTATGACGATAATGGCGAATCTATTTGGTCGTCTGCACATGGTCACGAAAACGGAAATATCCATATGGTCAGTTCATTGAATATTCTCCATTCATACTACCTTTGATCCTCTCTCTCTCTCTCTCTCTCTCTCTCACACACACACGCACACACACGAACACATTTCTGTGCAACTATTATATCAATTATTAGTTTTTCTAATTAACTTGAAAAGTTTTATCGAATTTAGTTATTTGTGATAGTAACCCGTATGCATAATGTACAATGATAACGTATGGGGTGTGGAAAGCATCTTAGAAGGGAAATCAAAGCCGTTCAAATGTACTGAACGATTGAGGTTGTCTTTTTTATTATGTAAATTTCTTTCCTTAATTTTTTTTGGGATAAGTGCAGCAGAAAATCCAAAAAACTCGTTGCTAAGTGCAATTGAGTTCTAAAGTTTTTAAAAAGTGCAATCAAGTCTAAATCTTGGTTTTTTTTTTTTGGTCAAGGTCTAAATCTAGTTAAATTGGGGCAATCTCCATTAGTTTTGTCCAATTAGGCTAAGGAAAAATGCTGATGAATCTTTTTTTATTACTTTCTTAAAACATGGGGCACCCACAAAGTGCCACATTAGAAAAAAATTGAAAATTAAAAAACAAATCAATCAAAAGATAAAAAAAATTCAAAAAAAGACAAAGAAAAAGTAAAGAGGATTAGAGAGTCCTTTGGAACTATCTTTTTATCAAATTCACAGTCAGCCAAAAGAAATCATACTTTGAAGGACAAATTTTAAAACTGCGCAATTTATAATCGAAAAACACATAAATATCCATTGAAATAACCTAAGCATATAATTGCCTGTTAATAGGAAATGATCCAATGAAATTATTGCCATAAAAAACTGAACGCTTCCCATAGTTATGATAGAGACATAAGCAAAACACAACATGATCCCTAGCACAATGCAGAAGATCTGCCAAGTTTCAATAGAAAAACACGCAAAAAAAAATCATAAAATTGGCTCGATGAGGTTTGAGCGGCCATGACCGCAGAGATCGACAAGGCTTGAGCGGCCATGGCCAAGCTCGACAAAGCTTGAGCCGTTATGGATGTGAGCTCGAAGAAGCTCGAGCGGTCATGTCTGAGCTCATAGAAGCTTGATTAGCCATGGGCATGAGTTTGAAGAAGCCTAGAAGCTGGAGCTGCCGATGAAACTCGAGTAGCTTAAAGAAGCTCGAGCGCCCAGGGCCAAGCTCAACAAAGCTTGAAAGGCCAGGGTCACAAGCTCGAATTTCAGAACTTGATTGTACTAATTTGACAAGTTTTAGAACTTGATTGCATTTTTCGAATGTTTTAGAACTCAATTGTACTTTCTTGACAAGTTTTAGGACTTCTCATATACTCATCCCTTTTTATTTTATACATTACACAAAGGTCAATAACATGCTTTATGCAAAGATGGACTCCATGAGAGCAACCCAGTACGATAAGTTTTTGGTCAATTAATATGCTTTATGCAAGGTGGACTCCATGCGAGTAACCTAGTATGATAAGTTCTTTTTTAATGCTAAATGAAGCGAATCAGCAAAGCGCGCCAGAGAACCCTAATGATCTATTATCTTATTCTCGGGTCTAGGTTGTACGTGGATGCAGTGTTTTCTTAGGCCATTATAATCTTTCTATCATCTTTTATATGGATCAATGTGACAGTTAAATGCGATAAATACTTGTTAATTCTGCAGGTTAACTTGGACTACCCTCGTGAGTTCTTGACCTCCGTGTCAGGTTTTATCAGACACGATAATTCTGTTATTCAATCACTCACGTTTGAAAGCAATATAAGAAGGCATGGACCCTTTGGTAAGGAGGAAGGAAGCTCCTTTAGCTGTGCATTGACATGCAGCAAGCTTATTGGCTTTCACGGAAGGTCTGGCGTCCAGCTTGATGCACTAGGAGTCTACTCTGAACCAATTTCTGATCTTCGTTTCTTGAAATCCATTGGGCCATTTGGAGGACAAGGTGGCGGTCCTTGGGACGATGGAGATAGCACGGGTGTGAGAAAAATAATTGTAAAAGCTGGATTAGTTATTGACTCCATTACTGTTGAGTACGACAAGAATGGGTCTGTGGCTCAGGGCCCTAAACATGGTGGAGACGGAGGATCTCTAACACCCGAGGTATGGCCTCTAGACATTTACTTAATGATCTTATGAACGTGCAAATTCTGTGTTGTTGCTAAGGTTTGGTTTTGAGTGGTCTGGAGGTCACGTTTATGCACAGGAGTGTGACAGTATCCTAAATAGAGCATAGAGGTGAAAGTAAGATATGAGAACAGTCCGTAGATTTTTCAGTTTAGATTGGCAAATGATCTGGAATGAGAATGATCCTCTGAGAAAGTCATTGTTGGGGCATATGATGTATATCATCACAGAAAAGTATTGCCTCCGAAAAAGGAAGAAAAAAAAAAAATAGGTCTGAGAACAATTTTCCTTCATTTTAGTAACTGTTCTCAAAGAGATGCCAGAGCATTTTTTAAGCAATTGCCTTTCATTTTACATACAAATGATTTGATAACTGTGGCGGACCAAAATAGGTCTTATGCTCTAGATGCAGGGGAATTATCTATTTAGCTATTGCATTGTTTGTATAACCAAATACAACTTATCATCCAGAGTGTTTTTTCTATGCTGATTTTCAAGATTATACGGTTAGGGGGTTGGGATTAAATATGTTTGTCTTCATTATTTTGCAGATTAAACTTGATTATCCTCGAGAGTACTTGACTTCATTTTCTGGTCACTTTGGATCTTTATGCGGGCATATTGTTGTCCACTCCCTCACATTTCAGAGCAACGAAAGAACTTATGGGCCAATTGGTCGGGAGATCGGGAACTACTTTTATTTTCCATCAATCGGTAAAAAGATTGTTGGGTTTCATGGGAGGTCTGGACTATGGCTTGATTCACTTGGAGCACATTTTGAGCCTTGACATGCTAAGCACTACCTTTATGTGTGCCATGCAGTCAATGTTTGAGTTTATGTATAATATCTATCATCACGGACATTCTCTAGAGTTTTGAATAGGTTTGTTTGATGTATCCTTGTTAAAGCATTTAATATAGTGAATCAAATCTTCATCAACTAACCTCGTAGCTTAGGTATGACGCCATCGACGGGAAGCAAGTTTTTACAGTAAAAGGATTTGTTTAAAAAAATTCGTCATAAATCGAACACTTTTTAAGTTTTGCATTTTAAAACGGCGGATAAAGGGTGAGTGAATCAACTGTTCTCCATCTGTGGACTTTCTGCATATAAATCTAGTTATTCTCTCTGGGCATGGTTGTTCCAACAACGAGTTTTTTTTCCTGACAAAGAGCACTAACAAGGACTCGCCCAAGACATGCTGTTTGCAACGCTCGTGCGTTTGGTTCAGGGCATGTTAATGATTTGGAAAACATGTTAATAAAATTAATTGTTTGTATCACTTATAAAAATAAGTCAATGGATTTCCATTATCAATAATAATCTATTTCTAAATATTTTTGTTGATGATGAAAATCTTTTAGTTAAATCATTTTTGTATGCGATACCCTCGATCAATTTTAAAAAATATATTTTTTGAGTCGTAGATTTTTCGCAAAATAAAAGCATGGGGATTGTAGTTTTTCTTATTTCATCTAATGTATGTTGATATGTTGTAACAATAGGCAAGATAATCTACTATTTTCCAGATCATGCGTCACCATCTCAATCATTACGAGAGTGGATCATCCCCTACTCATAGTCATCTATCACTTTTGCTTCTCGACTTATTTCATTAACATTTGTTGACCCGTATTCATAATGTACAATGACAATCTATGGGCTGTGGAAAGCATATCTGAGGCAGATCAAAGCCATTCAAATGTACTCTACGATTGCAGTTGTCTTTTTTATTATTTAAATTTCTTTCCTTTTTTTTTTATCTAAATGCACCGATAATCTTAAAACTTATTATAAAGTGCAATCGAGTTCGGAGCCTTTAAAAAGTGTAATCAAGTCTAAATTTTGTTCAATTAATACAATCAAGTCCCTCTGCTAAGGAGAAATCATGTGATAGGGAGAAATTTCATGATATTTTATATGCGTAGTAAAAAATATGTATTGCAATAAGGTGATAGGGAGAAATTTTTCCTTTTCTCTCAAGAAAACTGTAAGAGATGCACAATAATCAAAGCGATACACAAATTGCAAGGGTAAGGTGGAAATTTACTTACCTCGAAGCAACACAAATTAGAAACACACATCTTCAATCTAACTATGGTTTTTAATTAAAACGCAATCCCACTCAAATCATTTTTTTTAGGGTTTTCTCTTATTTATATGAAAACGTAACTATATGTCATGCAATTCAATTAGAAGATTTTATCTAACCTAGATTTTATTTAGATAATATCCTAAAAAACCTTCCGCTTTAACTGTTGTGCCAATTTTACCTTTCATACTCCAAGCATCTCTAGTCCTATGATTCGTAATATTTCACGAAAAATAATAATATATACGTAAAGTAAGAGTAAACTTCATTTACGTTAATATTAGCAAGATGTCTAATCGATTGTAACTTTTAAAGATTTGGGTGAGTAATTTTCTTTACCAATCATGACTTTTCCTAATCGAAAACGACTTTGATCACGTTCACATACGACCATCACTTCCTTTGACGTCCATAAGTTAGGATAACAAATTAGGTTTTCCAAAACCGATCGGACAGACGACTCTTTCCTTTTATTTCCAACAACGACCGTCCATGTTGAAAACGGGACCACTCCGTAGCCAACACTTTTACGAAAACCATAGAACGTCCCTGTTCTTTTGTTCCCTCGAAAAGTCCAACTGTCCAAACAGTCAAAACGGTTGTCCGTCTATCATCAACTAATCATTTCTCATCTTATCTCTCCCTCCCATATCTTCGCTTTCAAAAGACAAAAAGAAAACACAAATTAACTGATTCGAAGCATCTTCTTCTACAACGCGTGTGCTGAAGCTTCAAATCCGTGTCTGCGTTTTCAGACATATCTATGTCGCGTGAAACAAAAGCTCTTTTAGCTTGACTTGACGAATTCAAACCAAATTGTCCTCAAGCGAGCAATTTGCTTCATGTGTTCTTTGAACCAAACCAACTCCACCCGCAACTTCTCCGAACATGCAATTGAATAATCAGTCTGTCCTGATGGCAGAGCCATCATTCATCCTTTCTTCTCATTCGCAACTTGCGCCTCCTCTTTACATCTACACCTTACCTGCAAGGAAGAGTTGCAACCTTTTCCGCAGTCTCTCACTCAATCACGGACTGTGCTGATGGGAACCGAAGAGATCGAGCGATGCATTTCGTCTTCTGCTTCGATCCACCAATGGAAGTATGATGTGTTCTTGAGCTTCAGAGGCGAGGACATAAGGAAGACCTTCGCGGCCCACCTCTTCCACGCGCTGAGGCAGGCTGGGATCTGCTATTTCAGTGACAATGACAAAGTGGACACCGGGATTTTCATCGAGCCCAAGCTGCTCGACGCAATTCGCCACTCTAGGGTTGCCCTCATCGTGTTCACCACCAACTATGCCGACTCATGGTGGTGCTTGAACGAGCTGGTGGAGATCCTGGAGTGCAACAGGAGGTTCAGAGATCGTCAGGGTCACGTGGTTCTGCCCATTTTCTATGATGTTGAGCCAGGGGACGTCCGGAAACAGAGCGGGAGATTCGGGGATGGTTTCGGAAGGTGTATGGCCACCCACCGGGATGATTTGCTGATGCAGAAGTGGAGGGATGCGCTTAAAGAAGCTGGCAATATATCGGGATTGCATTTGAATAATGATGCTAATGAGTAATGCGTTTAATAAGTTCACTGCCGAAAAAGCTCATAGTAGTGGTCGATTTAAAATATGATATCGATTGAGTTTAGTTCATGCGTTTGCTGCTCATCTGCTGATAGCCTCTCTATGATGTAGTTGCTCATATCGGACTTGTTCTTCCTATGCAACTACAGGGATCAATCAAACTTCATCGAGCAAATTGTAGGACATCTCTTCAGGGTCAGTCCTAGATCAATCTCCCCCTATTTTGTCAAAAATGCTATTGGGCTAGATTCCTTTGTAGAGGATGTGAGATCGTTGCTGGAAATTGGGTCAAAGGATGATGTCCGTGTGGTTGGAATATGGGGAATGAAAGGAATTGGTAAGACAACGGTGGCCAAAGTTGTCTGTGATCGTGTTTTTAGGCAATTTGAAGGCGTTAGCTTACTCGAAAATGTTGGAGGTGCAAACCAAGATACTCTTTTACTTCTTCAGAAGAGACTTCTCCATGATGTTATGAAGGTTCAAGGTCTAGAAATGTTTGATATTAACAGCAGCATCAACGAGATAAAAACTAAGCTCTGTCGGAAAAAGATCCTTGTAGTTCTCGATAACATCACTAAGAAGGACCAAATTGAGTATTTCGGAGCTGGAGATCGTGAATGTTTCCAATATGGGAGTAGAATTTTGATAACTACAAGAGATGAGCAGTTGTTGGAAGATCTGAAAGTAGATAACAAGTACATGTTCCCAGGATTGACTCGTAAAGAATCGCTCCAACTCTTGAGTCGCCATGCCTTCTGCAAAGACCATCCTGAAGAAGGCTATAGAGAATAGTCAGAGAGTCTTGTCCACTACACTGGTGGACTTCCAATAGCTCTTAAAAAATTTGGTTCCTTCCTCTCTAAGAAGAGAAAAAAACAGTGGCATGAGATATTGGAGAAGTTGGTGAGAGACCCTCATCTTGATTCAGTTGGATTACCTTTAGAACCATTCTCCTCTGTTCTTCCCTTTCAATCCGTCGGGCCATATGGAGGTTGTGGTGGGTGTTCTTATGATGATAACACATTCACCGATATTAGAAATATTACTGTAGTTGTAACATCAGTGATTGAGTCCTTTCATATTGAGTATGATCAGAATGGGTCTTTGGTCCGCTCGCCAAGACACGGTGGACCTGAGGAAGGCAAAATATGCACGGTGAGTCCACTGTTGTGGTATGTTATGGCATATATTTGTAAATATTTATGCCAAGACATGGTGGACCTTTGCCTATATATAAATATATATATGTCTACTTATGCTACTCCCCATCAAATTATGAGTTATTGTTTGGTCAATAGAAAATAAGAGTCTATATCAAAGGTAAATTGCTTAAAAGGATTCAACGGGGTTGGTCCACAATGCTTCATGATCTCCCAAATTCTCGACGTTTGCACAGAAAAAAGAAAAGAAAGAGTTTTGTTGTTTTTATATACTTGTCTTGATGTAGGATTTATCAAAGATTTTGATTTTGCTTTGAACTCCATCTGTTTATGCAAAAATCAGGGTTTTAAGATGGAGTCGAATGATTGCAATATGCGTTTAATGAGACTAACAAATTGATTTTGAGAGAAGGATTGCAAGTGCTCGTGCAATATCCCTGTTGAAGTACTTTTTTAAGTCCTCAAAATAGTCAAATATCATTAGTTTTGGGAATATTCATTTCTTGCAGGTAAAATTAGATTATCCAAATGAGTTCTTGACTTCTGTGTCAGGCTACATTAAAGACGAATGTGGATGTGCCGTCATTCAATCACTTACCTTCCACAGCAATAGGAGAACATATGGTCCATTTGGCAATGAGAGCGGGAAATTTTTCAGTTTCCCACCGGTTGCTGGGAAGATCATCGGGTTTTTTGGGAGGTGTGGCTGTTCTCTTGATTCCATTGGAGCATATCTTTTACCGATCTCTCGTGCATATCCCTTCGAAATCGTAGGCCCATTTAGAAATAGGAATTGTGAAGACCAGTGGGATGACGGCAAGCATACAGATGTCAGACAAACTGATGTTGTTTCTGGTTCTGCAATTGAGTCGATTACTATTACTTACGAGCAAGGTCATTCTTTTGCACATGGTACAAGTGGTGGAGGCACAACAAACAAGGTACCGGTGCTATTCGAGTAATGAATTGTTGCTCTCGGTGTTAGATGAAAGCTACTCCTTTTATTTCTGATTCGTGCAGCTCATAATGGAATGTCCTGAAGACATAATGCGTAGGTAGAAATCATTAGTCGCTAATGTTTAAAACATGGCCAAGTTGAACCACCATAATTATAACTCATCCGGGAAATATAACAGTGGGATGTGTAACATAATGAAAGTGAAAAATTATTCGATCACAATTTATTTGTGTTTCAAGATCGATGATTTCTGTGTGCTTGTGAATGTTGCTTTGCGTGAATGAGTTGTTTCCATAATGACTTATTGGAATAATTAATTGTGATTCTCAGATGTCTTTATTCTAATGAGTTATTTTATGAAACACAAGTGATCAGTTAATTTCGAAATTGCACAATATTACCAATGATATCTCATGTGCAACTCAAAGAGTATATGCTTTTTGTATGAGATATACGACATGATAGTGAATTTAGCAAGATCATCATCTTCTTCTTTTTCCACTCATGCACATTTACCTATTATTTAGAATAATGATTTTTGCTTTTTGTATGAGATATACGACATGATAGTGCAAATTACTACCATGCGTAATGTTTTTGTTTTTCAAGTTGTTGCATTAACTATTCCTCACATTCTAATGATTGTTACAGATAAATCTGGGCTGGTCAATTGAGTACCTAATTTCAGTGTCGGGCTATATTACAAGTGATTTTGGCTCGACTATCATCCATTCACTCACATTTCAAAGCAATAAAAGCACATACGGACCATTCGGCACTGAAATTGGAAGGAAGTTTTCATTTCCAGCCACTGGGGGAAAGATCATTGGATTTTATGGGAGTTCTGATTCCCATCTTGAATCTCTTGGAGCATATTTCGAACCAATCTCTCATCTATATCCGATCGAGTTTATTGGACCATTTGGAGGCCAAGGTGGACACCATTGGGACGATGGAAAATTTAATGGTGTAAAGAAAATAAGGATGATGCTAGAAGATGTTGTCAGCTGCATCTACTTTGAGTATGACGATAATGGCGAGTCTATTTGGTCCTCTACACATGGTCACAGTGTCAATGGAGATATCCATATGGTGAGTTCATTGCATATTTTCCATTCATATTACGATTGATCCTCTCTCTCACGCACGCGCGTGCCTGCACAAACCTCCTTATCGAATCTACGAGAACTTTTGGGAAAGCCTTTCATTAGCTTCTCTTTGAATGGAAGTTTTATTTTCCAGAATGTATCCTAATTTTTTGCCTAATCCTTCTTTTGATGATTGATCCAACCTCTAACAAAAAAAAGATATGCCTTGGTCATATTTCGTCTCTTCAATAAGTTTAGTAACAAGCATAAAAGCCCTATTGTTCCAATGGAAAGAAGAGCCTATGATAATCTTTTCAGGAAATTTGCAAACGAACAATTTCATCGAAATCTTTCAATTTCTTATTTTCTACATTCACTTTATGTAATCCTCTATCCGTAAACTATAATAGAGTTTTCTTATTGATATTAATAGCTACTTTAGAAGGAATGTTTTTATGCGGTGCGGTAAGGTATGGTGAGGGTCATAGGCACCTACCACCACCCTACGCCACCATTAGATCGAGTATTAGTTTTCTAATAAACTTGAGAACCTTTATCAAAGTAAATTGCGAGTGATAGTAACCTGTATGCATGATGTACAATGATAAAGTATGGGTTGTGGAAAGCTTCCTAGAGGGAAATGAAAACCATCCAAATGTACTGAATGATTGAAGTTATCTTTTGATCATTTAAATTGCTTCCTGTAATTTTTGTTTTGTACATTACACAAAGGTCAATCGATATGCTTTATGCGAGATGGACTCAATGAGAGTGATCCAGTATGATAAGTTTTTCTAATGCTAAAGGAAGTGAATCGGCAAAGTGCGCCAGAGAACCCAATGGTCTATCATCTTCGATTGTTGACCCTAAAAGTACGAGAAAAGTGTCAAAAAAGTCCTAAATCTTTTGCATTGATGCCAATTTAATCCTAAACCTTTTTTTGGTGCCAATTTAGTCCTAAACCTTTTTCTGGTGCCAATTCAATCCTAAACCTTTTGCATTGATGCCAATTCAATCCTTCCGGCTAATAGCTATTCACGTGTCAAAGGATTGAATTTGCATCAATGCAAAAGGTTTATGACTGAATTGGCACCAAAAAAAGGTTCAGGACTAAATTGGCACTAATGCAAAATGTTTATGACTGAATTGGCACCAATGCAAAAGGTTTATGACTAAATTAGCACTAAAAAAAAGGTTTAGGACTAAATTGGCACCAATGCAAAAGGTTTAGGACTTTTTTGACACTTTTCCCCTAAAAGTATGCTGCAAGAATAGTAGTCCATCCATACATTAGTTTTAAGAAATTCTTGGGTCTAAGAATTAAACTTCTAGGTTGTTCGTGAATGCCATGTTTGCTTAGGCCACTGCAGGCTATCTATCATCTTTGATATAGATCAATATGACGGTTAAATTGCTAATTCTGCAGGTTAACTTGGACTACCCTCGTGAATTCTTGACCTCCATGTCAGGTTATATTAGACATGATAATTCTGTTATTCAATCACTCACGTTCGAAAGCAACGTAAGAAGGCATGGACCCTTTGGTAAGGACGAAGGAAGCTTCTTTAGCTGTGGATTGACATGCAGCCAGATAATTGGCTTCCACGGAAGGTCTGACGTACGTCCAACTTGATGCGCTAGGAGTCTACTCTGAACCAATTTCTGATCTTCATCTCTTGAAATCCTTTGGGCCATTTGGAGGACAATGTGGCGGTCCATGGGACGATGGAGATAGCACGGGTGTGAGAAAAATAACTATAAAAGGTGGATTAGTTATTGACTCCATTACTGTTGAATACGACAAGAATGGGTCTGTGGTTCAGGGCCCTAAACATGGGGGAGACGGAGGATCTCTAACACTCGAGGTATGGCCTCTAGACATTTACTTCATGATCTTATGAACGTGCAACTTCTGTGCTGTTGCCAGGTTTTGGTTTTATGTGGTTTGGAGGTCACGTTTATGCACAGGAGCGTGACAGTATTCCAAATAGAGCGTAGAGGTCAAAGTAAGATATGAGAACAGTCCGCAGATTTTGAGTTTAGATTGGCAAATGATCTGAAATGAGAATTATCCTCTGAGAAAGTCATTGTCGGGGCATGATGGAATATCATCATAGAAAAGTACTGCCTCCGAAAAAGGAAAAAAAAAGAATATTATAAAGTAATTTTACTATATGATTTTTAAGTCTAAACAATTTTCCTTAATTTTAGTAACTGTTCTCAAAGAATATTGCCAGAGATTTTTTAAGCAATTGCCTTTCGTTTTATAGACGAATGATTTGATAACTGTGGCAGACCAAAATAGGTCTTGTGCTCTAGATGCAGCAGAATTATCTATTTAGCTATTACATTGTTTGTTTAACCAAATACAACTTATCAACCAGAGTGTTCTGTTTATGCTGATTTTCGAGATTCTATAGTTGGGGGGTTGGGATTAAATATGTTTGTCTTTCTAATTTTGCAGATTAAACTTGATTATCCTCGAGAGTACTTGACTTCATTTTCTGGACACTTTGGATGTTTTCGTGGGCGTATTGTTGTTCGCTCCCTCTCATTTCAGAGCAATGAAAGAACTTTTGGGCCATTCGGTATAGAGACCGGGAAGTACTTTTCTTTTCCATCAACCGGTAAAAAGATCGTCAGGTTTCATGGGAGGTCTGAATGTTGGGTTGATTCACTTGGAGCACATTTTGAGCCTTGACATGCTAAGCTCTACTTTTATGTGTGCCATGCGGTCAATGTTTGAGTTTACATGTAAATATGTATCATTATGGACATTCTCATAAATCTAGGGATTTAAATAGGCCGGGTTGATGAATCCTCTAAGAATAAAGTGCGTTAAAAGCATTTATTATAGTGAATCAAATCTCCATCGACAGGAACAAGTTTTTATAGAAAAAAGATATGTTTAAAAAATTCGTCATAAATCGAACAATTTTTAAGTTTTGCATTTTAAAACGGTGGATAAGGGAGAGTGAATCAACTGTTCTCCATCTGTGGACTTTCTTCAGATAGATTTTGGTCATCTAGTCATTCTCTCCGGGCAAATTTGTTCCAACAATGAGTTTTTTTCCTGACAAAGAGCACTAACAAGGACTCGCCAAAGACATACTGTTTGCAACACTCGTGCGTTTGTTTCGGGGCATGTTCATAAGAATAATTGTTTGTATTGCTTATAAAAATTAGTCAATGGATTTTCATTATCAATAACAATCTATTTCTAAATATTTTTGTTAATGATGAAAATATTTTAGTTAAATCATTTTTGTATGTGATACCCTCGATCAATTTTAAAAAAATATTTTTCAAATCGTTGATTTTTCGCAAAATAAAAGCACGCTGATTGTAGTTTTTCTTATTTCATCTAATGTATGTTGATATGTTGTTAAAGTAGGCAAGATAATCTACTATTTTCCGGATCATGCATCATCATCTCAATCATCAAGAGAGTGGATCATACACTAGTCATTGCCATCTATCATTTTTGGTTCTCAGACTTGTTGCATTAACATTTCTTGACCCGTATACATAATGTACAATGACAATGTATGGGGTGTGGAAAGCATCTCAGAGGGAAACCAAAGCCATTCAATGTCTTTTTGATTATTTAAATTTCTTTCCTTAAATTTTTTATAAGTGCACCAGTAATCCTAAAATTTTGTTGCAAAGTGCAATTGAGTTCTAATGCTTTTTAAAATTGCAATCAAGTCTAAATATTGTCAAATTTTGTAGAAAAGCCCTTCCATTAGGGAGAAATCATGTGATAGGCAGAAATCTCATGATATTTTACATACGTAGTAAAAACTAAAAAACATGTAGTGCAATCATGTGATAGGGATAAATCTTTTTTTTTTTCTCTCAAGAATAGGGAGAAATCTTTTCTTTTCTCTCAAGAAAACTTTAAGAGAAAGAGTATTCTTGAAAAATTAAATCATAAGTATCATTTATAACTAGTAATAAGTTGTAAAAGTAAACTCCATGAGAATGAGAAAATAATTATGCTTGTAAACATAAGTAAAATTGACTTATTAGGCAAGACATTTTATGTGGTAGAAAGAACAAATAATTTTTGAAAATGTGAAATGAATGTTGGATCTATAGGAAAAATTTCGATGTCAACAGGTATTTGGTCTTTTCTTTTTATATCAAGTTCCACGCTTAGAGTAACTTATGCTAAAATTTGTGTGCGAAAAAGTTGAGTGTAAATATGAACATATATGGTGCAGTTATTTTTCTCTCTATAAAGCTCTAGGTTTTTATTGTAGAATGCCTCGGGAGCTAGATCCGGCGATTGGGTCTCATGTGGGCCCTAAATAAGGTTTACATAAACAATGCGAGATAAGCCGAGTCTGTCGGTGCGAATCCAGACAAGGTTTTTTTATGCCCCTAGAGGGAGGGATAAGTGACTTGTTTGGCGTTATTTTCTCTCTCAGGTCGGACAGCGACAATATGCTTGTTTTAATTTTTCGTACTCAGATTCCGTGACCCTTGATCATTTCAAATTCACTCACATTTTCTGCTAAATGTCAGTATGGTTTTAAGAGAACATACACAACGATTTGAGTATCTTGCACTGTATCCCAGGACCATTAGCCAGCGCCCTAACAAAAGAAATGTCCAGTGGCCGATGAGTCGCATCCAGTTCTGCCCACGAAGTCTGAATAAAAACGACATAACAAAAAATGAACTAACTAGAAAGAAATATTAAAAGGCGTCGAGTTGTCCACAAAACCCGCATGGCGCGTTCCCAAAAGTCAACTGTCAACATCTTTTCTGCAGCTCTGGTTTCAGTTCTGTCGATTTTCGTGCATATATATTTCTATATTTGGTTCTGAATTTTACCACGCTGAACATACGATCTTCGGTAGACATACCAAGCAAATCTTATTTTCTTTTGCAGATGTCAAATAAATCCAAGTTGCGGGCCCCAGATTCCCTTAAAGGAACCATGAACATGTCTCTAATTAAGTTGACTGACTTTTTTGGTCAACGAAATGCATCCCACCAATGGTAAAATTATTGTCTGACAAGATTACCTGCATGATCAAGTTGAGTTTAATTTTTCTTTTTTCCAGAAATGAGGGACAGATAATAATCACGGGAACGGCTAATAATCAAGCAAGCTAGTTGGAGATGATCTGGCAAACAAAAATGCTAGTTGGAGAAAAATATCGCAGATCTTTTTTTTAAGAACATCCATGTTAAAAAAAAAGTAAATATAAGGAAAATTGACTTTATTAGGCACGGCATTTTATGTGGTAGAAATGAAAAAATACAAATTAGAGGAAAATTGATTGTGTGATTGTAATAGAATTTGTAGCAAAACAAAACCGACGCTATGTGAAACGATATATCAAGGAAAAAAATAGATTATGGTATACTGGATTATACTATACGCATTATGTTATGTGAGAGAATATAGATAATTATCAACATGAATCAACATTATAACATAAAATTACTTTGGTTCGAGCATATACAAGATGTAGTAAAATACAATGTTAGAGTAAATTTTACTCAATAAAGAATGATGATTACTTAAAAAAATGACAAAATAGTGGCGTCAAATTAAAAAGAAAAATGGGGCATGATAAGTACTTTGCATGTTTCCGAGTTTGGAGAGACTGATTCTGGAAGATTGTTTGGTTGCTGGTGACCCGTCAATAGGGAATGTCGAGTTTCTGGTCTTCTTGTATATTAGAAACTGTGAAAGCCTCGAGCAGGTGCCTCAACAGTAGGGTTCTTTGAGAGCATTAAGCGAACTTCTTGTGGGAGATTCCCATTTGTAGAGATATGAAGAAGGTTGAAGTTCTTAGTGCTAGGAAATGTGAATCATTTACTCAGATTCCTGCATCGATCTGCAAAGCAACTTATCTCTTGGACCTGGTTCTGGATTTCCATTGCTATTACTGAACTTCCTGATTCGATTGGAGCTCTGGTGAAGCCGAGCTGCATATCACTGAACCAGTGTGAGTCGTTGACCAAAATTCCGGGCTCCATTGGGCAGTTGAAATCCGTAGTTGAGCTGAGCTTATCTCCCGCAGGAGTTGGTAAATTACCTGATTCTGTTGGAAACTTAAGTAAATTCGAAGTGCTTGATATTAATAATATCAATGGAACAGATTTACCAGGCGCTGTTCAAATGCTAGAAAAGCTCTGATAAATGCCTCAAAGTGTGAGTGCTTGAAGGGAGACGTTTCTGCTGTTGGCTTGTCATCCTTTGAGCATCTTGAGACATGATCACACGGATATTATTCTTCTTCCAGAAAGCATTGGCAGGCTATCTCGTCTTCCAAACTCTTGACTTGGCTGGGTTAAAAAAGCTCCAGACCCTTTCCCAGATTCCATCTGGCTTGGTAAACCGTCGCTTTTACTCATCGATGATTACAATTTCACACCCGTCAGACCTGATTAATTTGAAGGAACTGGCATTCATTAAATGCGTCTAGTTCAAAGAAGTTTATAAGGACATCAGTAAGTTGACCAAGCTGGAGAAGCTGACGCTGTCTAAAACAAAGATAAGCACCTTGCGCGAGGAGACTAGCACCCTTCCTCGGCTCAAGGAACTTGCTATTGAAGAATGCATTGAACTGCAAAGCCTCCCAAAGCTTCCCTCAAGCCTGATAATCTGAGCATCGGGGATCATATTTCATTTCAGAAATTGCCAGATTTTTCAAACTTGAATTGGTTATCAGAATGATCACTTTGTGAAAGTTCTGAGCTTAGTGAGATTCAAGGCCTTGGGGATTTGGCATTCTGGACAAGGTTGGAGGTTACTTGCTGCCGTAATTTAACTAAGCTTGATGATCTTGAAAAGCTGGAATCTTTGAAGTGTGAATGTGGCGGACTGTGAATCCCT